TAAAATCCGCAGCGGCAGGACTTCGCGACAGGTTCTTTTCGCAATCTACCGTCAATGTTTGCGCTTCGTTTAGCGGTGGTACTTGCTCGTGTACACAAGTTATTATAGTTCGTTTTTCAACTTTGTTTTTTATGCAATCTTTTTCTCCCGTTTGTCTTTTTTTTTTTGTTTTTGGTAGATATAAATAGATTTCTAGAATCCTAGAATCCTAGAATCAACGAGTTTTAAATCTGGCAATTGTTAATAATTCTTTTTTGTGGTTCTTGAAATTTTTCAGCATTAGCCATGAGAAACCTAGGTTGAAAATTCGTTTAATCAATTATTGGATTCTTCCTCTTCCTCAGGAACAGTGTGCTTCAACTATACAACTGATCCAATTTGTAACTAGAGAAATTCCTGGTAATTATTTCATCCAGAACAATTTGCACTACTTGCTATTTAACTTAGCTTACCGTGTCTGCCAATTTTCGTTTCACTTTTGATCGTCTTTCGTCCATCGAAATTGAAACGAAAGTTTCTGGAATTTACGAACACAAACATTTCATTCTGCGTTTCACAGAGAGAAAGAGAACGGAGATTAACTAGCATCAGGCTAAACCAACGTACTCTGAAACCTGGCCGATCTTTCTCCCGGTCCTCCCTCCTTATCCATCAATTTCAGGGAAATCCGGTCGAATCGATCGGCCTTGGACGTTCGCCCGTCCTCCCATCAGTGGATTGCTCGAGCTGATGCACGTTTGAAATCCCCGCGAGATCCGTTCGCGGAGTCACGCATGCCGCTAACTATGCAGGGAGTCGGGGACCGAGAGGAAGGAAGAGAGGCGCATCGAACCAGCCGAAAATCCCGGCATTGTCTGGACACCGCGTGCTCTGCTCCCCCAATACGGATAATCTCGGGAGGCCCGGCCGTGTTTCCCTGTGGGAGACGCGATAACGTCCTGAAACAGAGAGAACCGCCTGCCGAAGGGTTGCCCCCGCTTTCCGATGTTCCATCCACGGAATTTAGAGTCCTCTGCCATCCCGCACCGGTATTAAACCACTAGCTATAAATCGACGAATTTCGGGTCGGCTCGCGTGCACAGGTATATATTCATCGTCAATTATCGTTACGTCGGGAATTTGTACGTTCGTTGTGGAAAAATTGCTAGACAATTGCTGAGCAATTGAACGGTTGAATGGTTTTTAGTACTACGTGGAATTATCAACAGCTTGTTACATTTAACGCATGCGTTAAAATTTAATATTTTCAATGTAACAAGCTGTTGATAATTCCACGTAGTACTAAAAATCATTCAATCAAATTCTTCAAGTACCTAGCAATGTTTCCACGATAAACATACAAATAACACATACGTTAAAATTTAATATTTTTCCAATGTAACAAGTTGTTGGTATGATCTACGTAGTACTAAAAATCATTCAATCAAATTGTTCAAGTACCTACCAATTTTTCCGCAATAAACATACAAATACACTATTTTATATTTATTTTTACTATTTTATATTTATTTATTCATATTTTATTTAAATTAATAATTTATTTATTTATTTTATATGAATAAAATTCAAAATTTTTATAAAAATTTTTTTTTATTAATTTAATGAAATGTTTTTGTAATAATATTATAATTTTATTTAAAAACTTTATAATTAATATATATATAATATATATTTTTAAAAAATTTATTTAATTTTATTATTATTTAAATATATTATATATAACGTATGTGTTATTTGTATGTTTATCGTGGAAAAATTGCTGGATACTTGTTAGATGATTTCTTATATTACCAACGATTTGTTTAAGAAAATATTCAATTATAATATTTATATTACTTACTAATATTTATTTATACACATTCAAACAAAATTTACTAGACACTTGCACAATGCGATTTTTAGCCTAATGAAACGACTAACTAGTTCGATATTTCTTTCGTAGTATAAAAAATGCCATGATGTCTCCGAAAAATCTCAGAGAAACGAAGTTGAAAATGGTCGTCAGGCTTAATTTAAGATCAAATTACTATCATTTTATTCCTTATTATTTATTATTAAACTTGCAGTCTTGTAACCCAGCATTCTGACTTAATCGCTTAATAATCTTTTCTTCTCAGAAACTATTTGCATCCAAATCTAAAGCAAACGTTGCAAAACGAGGCGGCGAATTCCTTGAAAAACAACGCGTACTGTTTGATCGTAAAATTCACTTCGACGTCCCGAAGTAACTTGGAAATAGCCGGATGACGTAACTTTCGCTAGGCAAATCGCTCGCTAACGTACTATTATAACACTATCTCTTTCGTATTGTTGGCCGCGAATAGAGACAGCGAGATCGTTTCTCGAGAATCGTTCCTCGTTGGCGGGGAATTCCGGCGTAAACACGAGATTTTGCCCAGAAAATATCGTTAGCTAATATTTACGGACCGACAGCGCTCGCGATTGTGAAAGAACATCCTTACTACGAACCGCTTATCGTTAATGCGATTAAGTAGACGCATGATTCATTTCGTAGCGGACGTTAATAACGTTGGCGTATATGAGCCGAGAATAATCGGATTTTCATGGTACGCAAGGAAATCGTTCGTCTTTCTGCGCTCGATCTGCTTTCGATCTTCAGATAATTGGAAGTTATCGTCTTTTCTTTTTTTTAAATAATTACACGAACAACGTAATTGTTCTACCGAAGAATACAATTGCAATAAAAAGCAGCCGTGTCATTGAAGTGATCCAGGCGACTCAAGAAATTGGTCGAGTCAAATTAATTTGTTTTAATTTTCATTGGACAAACCCAGTGAGGGAAATTGTTTAAAATCCGTCTCGCTGATAATTTAATTTAAAATCTGGGCACACGTGATCAGAATATGAAAAGAAACGATTTAATAAGAATTTTTTGTGTTTTATATAATTGTTTAGTACTAATTGGCTTCGAGTGGTGGAAATATCGAATGCTATCGAAAAATAGCTTGTTATCTTTCGAGCCGAGCAATTTTTTTAACATTCACTCTTTGACTGTTCAAGGTTAAGATTCGTAGCAGTGTTGAAAGTATTTCTTTACTTTTTGATAGCAGTCAGTATTGATACAACTAAAATAATTTCCTCGTAATTAATTTTATTAACAAAGATGTCAAAACGATCCATAATTTTATAATATAATTTGTTCATAGCTTGAAAATGAAACATGAAATTTCTTTGATATGAAAGTGCTATTCCACTATGTTATTGTATGTTATTGTATTGTATTATATGTTATTGTATAAGTGTCAATCCAAGCTGTAGTTTAACATTTCCTTGGACAAGTTGTTAATAATTCTGTACAGTATCGTAACTTAATATTATAATATTATGGCTACAATATTAAAAAAAAAAAAAAAAAAAAAAAGAATTTAAAAAATGTTAAAGAAATTCAATTGTATTAAATATAATAAAAAAAACTTAATTCTCGAACAGTGATTATTAAACGGATTTTTATGCAAAATTATATTTTTGATAGAAAATGGTTGCAATTAAATATTGCAAAAAACACCAGAGCTTGGTTATTTTGTACATTTTAATTAATTTAATTTAAATATTAATTCGCGAAGACGTTCGAGATGATACAAGAGAATAATAATAGGAATTTGTAGAAACAGAAAGCAGGAGATCTATTTGACAGTATTTCGTACTCTTCGAGTCCCAAACTTATCATCAATTCTTTGCAATGTCCCACAAACGTAGCCCACCGATCACAAACGTCGTAATCTCGCCTGCAGATCAAATAAACCTCCTCTGATTCTAAACAAGTATCTCGCTAAAATCCGCCAAAATCGCGCTGACACGTTTCTCCACTGAAAAACTCCGTGGCGCAGCTTCAAACGCGGTATTTGTTTACCTAGCAATCGTTCGATATTAACACCTACCAGGAAGACGAGATCAAACGTTTCCCAGGCATGTTTCCACGTTCCACGAAAGAGTTTTACTCGTCCTTCGTATCTGCGTCAATATCTTCTGTCTTCGACTTGAAGATACTGGAGGAAAGGCACTGAAATCTTCGGTCGATCTGAAACCAATACAAAGTGTTCTCGTTATTACGGTCACGAACCGTCGTGTTCGACGATTGAGATCTCAGTTTAGCTTAGAATTAACGGTGAGTTTCTCCGAGATTGATATTTACCGATTTACGGGAGCCACGAAGTTGCGACTGGTGAATCACGTACAGGGAAGTCGGAAACCGGAGGTCAAAACTGCTTGAAATCACGACGGGCCTTCCATTAACGTTCCCCCGGCTTGTACCTGTCCAAGAATCACCATATTCGACGTGTTGGCCGACCCTGGGCCAGACTTCCTGTCTACCAGCCTGCTTCTGTCTCGTTCGATTATCTGAAAAAAAGATCGAACACGTGGTCCTCCTTCAACAGTTCTACGCTATTCACGATGCTTTCTGTAGTCTTGAATGAGAGTTTTCGTGGCATTGGTTCGTTATCTAATTCGTTAACGATATTCTCTTAATCTTTAGGATACGTTGAATACGAACTCAAAAANAGTTGTTAATAATTCTGTACAGTATCGTAACTTAATATTATAATATTATGGCTACAATATTAAAAAAAAAAAAAAATAGAATTCGTAAAAATAAATTGATTGAAAAAAGAATTGCAAATGAATTAATCGATTAACTAGAACTGCCCCTTAAATCATTTCAATTTATGAAACAGAATAAACTATTTGAAAAAGACATTTTGACCTTGTTTTGTGATCTTTTGTAATGTGTTTCACCTTTCGTTCGTTAAATGTAAAGATAAGAAATGTTATCTGAACGAGAAAATTGACGCCTGAATGGCAACTAAATATCTAAAATGAGCGTATTGTTAAAAGTGCGATTATTTGATGAGACTTTTGCATAAGTAACGGTAATATCAGGTGTTTTATCAAGTTTCTGTTATTAAAAGAAATATGGAACGTGAAACAAAAATATGAAATAAATGCAAGATAAATACCTTTACAAGAAGATTGCAGTATAAAAATCAGAACGTCGTCGATAAAAGTTCAGAAAGTAACGAACGAACGAAAGAAGCAACACGAACGAATATTTTTGGTAAAGGTTATCATGTCTCGATTTCTCGTAGCGTCCCTCCTTCTCGCTATGGTCCTCGTTGTCTGTGAGTAATTACAACATAATTCATATTTAAAAGTTTGAAATATTCATTGCTCTTTTTCTGAACGAAACGATTTTCTTAAACATAATAAAAATGTTATAATAACCTAGCAAAATTCCCTTTGTCTGGACAAAATGAATTAAGACAAAATTTTAATTCACTTATATACAGTGAAGAGTATAACTGTACCAAAGTTGATAAAAAATTGTCGATATAATTGATATAATTTCGTAAAAGGATCATACAAGGATTCATCTGATCTCATTTTAAAGCGTGAAGCCTCTACTTTGACAATCGTAAATTTTTTTTTTTTTTTTTGCAAAGATGATATTAGATCGTATAGCGGATAGGAAAGTGAGAATACTTTTTCCTTGAAAATTAAAACGCATGTAAAAATGTTGGAAAAATTTTAAAAATCTAAATCTATTGTGGTCTTGAAGATTGAGATTTTCTTTTTACAACGAGCTTAAAAGTCGCTGTACAGTTTTCTTCGTTTACTAATATTTTATTGAATCTGGAATATTAGAGTAGAATTTTGGGAACTTTTTAAATTTTATCATTTAACTCTAATATTCAGCAAAATGTACAACAAATTTTAAGAGGTCGTTGCGACAAAGAGACTTCAATCTTCAAAATGATGGTAGATTTACTTACGAAAAGTTTTTTTAATATTTTCGCACACGTTTGAATTTTCACAATTTTCCAGGAAAAAGTGTTCTCACTTTTCCACACGCTGCATGATACGAACGTTATATTTTCGAAGAATAACGAACCCACGATTGTTAAAGTAGAAGTTTCACGCTTTAAAATAAGATCAAGCGGATCATTGTACGATTTTTTTTTACGAAATTATACCAGTTTAAATTTTTCATTGTCATTGGTATAATTATGCTCTTCATGTAAATATATATATAAAAATGTAAACGTATATATATATTAAAAAAAAACAGACAAATTCATACTTACAGTGATAGGGCAAAGGAAAATTTAAAAAGCAAATGACACGAGGTAATCCGTAATTTATGGACAAAAATAATGGATAAATGATTCCTAGTAATGTTGATAAAGAAATATTCGGTAGAGAAGTTACAATTTTTTTGTTCGTGTTTTTTTTTTTAGAAATAATCATGTAAAATTTGATTTAACAGCTAGCCAAGAGTGTCCATTGGTAGATTTGAGATGTGAAGTGAATTGCGAACCAAAGTGTCCGTCTCCACTTTGGTTTCCAATTGGCAACTGCACCAGCACCGTGAGTATTCAAAATTCCATTAAATTAACTGTATCAGCTTAATAACAATACGAATAAATTGATTTGCAGAATTGCGGTCCAGTCACTGGCGGTTTAGTCTCGTCCCCTTGTCCATGTGGTAAAGGCACGTCTAGAAATCTCATAACTAACGAATGTGTACCGGTGGAAGACTGTCCCAAATTAGAAATACATAATGTAAATGTATCTCGCAACTCATAAATGTCCATTGTCAAACGACAATGATGTGTCAATAAAAAACTTTCTTTGAGGAATATTCATCCCACTGGCGCTTCAACCAACTTCATCGTACATTTTTCTATCTGTATATTCATACTTTGTACAAATGTAGAATTGCACCCGATCATGCAAAATGCTTCAATATAAAATGTTATAGTTTCGACTTGATGAACGAAACGTAGTCAGTGTAATATTATATTGCTCATTCGTGAAAATGTCAGAAAAATTCGTCAATTTTGATTCTGAACGGTCAATCACGGATCACAATGGTAATCACGATGATTCAGTATTATTTACGAAACGGTAGAAAGATGTTTGAAACGCTGGTGAAAGAACGACGAAGGTTCTTCTAGAGGAAAAATGATAAATAAAGAATAAAGTGAAGGGTCGAAGAAAGAAAAATCAATGTCCCCGCAACACGAAGAAACGTGTCTTAAATGTCAGCGTGGCATCCAACGTCAATGGACCGTTCTACGTGATCGGAATGAAGGGGATGGGGTACCACCTTGACACAGACGAACGGCCACGGGGCGCTAACTAACGCCATAATCAAGTAAGCAGTTTAGTCGAGCGATCCGGTTACGTCGACTTAGCCTTCCGTATCGACGAGGCGTCACTGATTGGTTTACAGATCTGCTGAGCCGAACTCAGACGCTCAAAGGCCTCTCTAGTTAGCCGGAGACTTCCAGAACGAACCACCTTTACCCCCTTATACCCTCTCTCTCTCTCTCTCTCTCTCTCTCTCTCTCTCACTTTCATATCTTTCCTCGGTATTTCATTAATTTCCCTGCGACTCCGCTTCGTCTGCCAAGGCTTTACACCTTTGATTTCGCAAAGCGGAGTCTCCTCGACAGCTCGGTCTATAAATAAGTTACGCTTAATTGCAAAGATCCCTTCCCTCCCGCTCTTATCTCTTTCAATTTTTTCCCCTCTCTCCTTCTCTCGCGTTCGCTCGATCCTTCCCTCTCGGGGGGGGGGGGGGGGGGGGGAGAGAGAAAGAATCGAAAGGGAAAGCGAGCCTGCGCGACGCGAAATCGCGGCCTGCAATGCGGCAAATTCGAGGGAAAAAGCTGTCCCGCGGAAGCGTGCACTCGCGACGATTAATATGCGGCGGAGAGGGTGGATACGTAGGATAGGCGGTGACGAAGGGCGACGAATTTATCGGCGCCGGGTGCTCCCGACGAGGGACAGAGGGAAAAAGAATATACTCGTTGCGTTGGCGCAACATTAGCGAGGGAAAATTCATAGGGGCGGCGACGAGCGGAAGAGTTATGGACGGGCACTCTTCTCGGACACGCGTCTGTATACCTGCTGACTGTCGTTCTTCATAATTATACGTGTAACAACCGCGCTCTGGATCATGCGTCGGTGATCTTCCGCAAATTTGCTTTACGACATTTCATATCAGCGGATGTGAATCACCCCCGTGGAGAGCTTTCACCATCGTATGAAATATTTCGAAGTTTCATTAATAGTCATAATGGGATGTGGCTGTCATCGTTATGTTGATTAAGATTGAAATCAATTTTCAGAGTACGTGCAGGGAGTACAATTTAATGTTTAATGATACAATGCTGTATGATACTGTCCAGTAATATATTATTGATATTGTATTCATTGTATATCTGTGTGTATATGTACATATATTGTGTTTGTCGTATATGTGTATTATTATATCCATTGTGTATATATAAAGTTATTATGTTATAATATTTTATATATCATAATATTATTTATTTTAAGTTATTTTTGTTTTATATCATTCAATCTTTCAGTAACCACCCTATATATATATATATATAAATATATTAATATAAATTTATTTATATATATAAATAAATAACTTTTACAAAGACATTTTTTAAATTTTTTATTATTTTTATTTGGAAGTATAATTAATAATATAATTAATGGATTTTTTCCATAATATTCTACAAAAAAAGAAAATAAGAAAGATTGAAAAAATGTACAAGTTGTGACTTTTTCAAACCCATCAGTTTTTCAGTGGCCACACCGTATATTATATAATAGCAGACACAATATATGCATTAAGTACAAGCTTGTCTTAGATTAATCTACTCAATATAATGTACTTTGTGTATTACAAGATAATGTATCGCGGGTTTTTATCAAAACGTTGCTACGAAATTTCCAACCAATGGGTTGAACCCGAAAGTTCATTCGACTATTGAGACGAGGCGAATCGTCAAGAAATCCATCGTTTCCACAATTTTGGAAAACAAAGAAGAAGAACGTGCCCGTATACTTGCGTTGCGCGAGTCTTGGACTTCCTAGCCCTAGGACTGGAGAAGGATTTCTTCGATTTGTCAAGCGAATGCCCTAACCTTCGAGTAATAAGGAAGGAACGCGCGGGCGTGCGTTTTTCACAGGCAGGAGGGCGGTAATCGGTGAGACGGTTCTAATTTCGAATAGGGGAGCAGCACCGGATCGCGTCAGATTCTTGACAGACGTGAAAAATGTCACTCGTATGCAAAGCAAATTGTGCCAGCCCGTTCGTTTCATTATTTTGCCGGTGCGTGTCTCTCTCTCTGCGCGAGAGGGGGAAATTTCCCTTCTTCTCTCGCGAAAAAATTTCATTCTCGGCCCGGAGCAGCCACCTTGGCCCGCGTGCCTCTACGAAACTCCACGAGCCTCCTCTCTCTCTCTTTCTTTGCTTAATATAAGGTCACGAGGAGGGGGAGGACACCTGCGGTCGCCTCTTTAAAAATGATTAACCTACCCAAAGGAACGAGAGAGTCGAGAGCCCTCGATGGTGACGTCCTCGATGAAAAATGAATCGAGCTTGGCTTTTACGATGGCAAAAGGCATCGTTAACTCTTCCTACCCGCTCATTTTTAATGATTCCAAGCCCGTGGCTAGGATTACCCTTCTTGGACAGGCTGCTGGGGTACATACGTAAGCAGTGTCGTTGCTCTCTAAATATAGGGTAAATTAGGACTCCTACAGCCGAGGCAAGATGGTTTTATTACGATCTACATTTCCCGCTATTTAAGTCTACGACACTTGCGTTTAAATTGCGTTCAACGTTAATCGTAGTCGTCGTGAAGTAGCTGCTTTGTATATATTCGAGTCCTAATTTATTCAGGGGCGAAATCGACGTTCTAATTCGAGTCGTATCGAGTAACTTTGTCATTTTTCACTTAACGCTAGAACTATGTACCAACGACTGAAGCATAAAATTTCCATCGGAGATACAGTAAAGTAAAATCTTCATGATACAACAAGGTACGCAAGCTTTTATTTATGTACTTTACGAAGTGTCATTCAAGTCTCTATAAAATACACTGTTTTATATCTATAAAGTGTCTAATAAGAATTATCATCATTGGTCATTTTGATCATTTTAGTAGCTCTAGTAAAAGTATCAGAAATTAAAGCTGAAATCTGTATTATTTAATTTTTCATTTAGTTGCAAGTCTCTAAAAATACACTGTTTTATATCTATAAAGTGTCTAATTATCATCATTGGTCATTTTGACCATTTCAGTAGCTCTAGTAAAAATATCAGAAATTAAAGCTGAAATCTGTATTATTTAATTTTTCATTTAGTTGCAAAAGAAATTCCCGAGCTCCTGTTCAAATGCCTCGTAGTATCGCTTCCCTTTGTCGAACTGTTTCGTATAGCATTCGTTTCTAACAAAACTAAGTAAAATCTTCATGATACTTTACGAAGTGTCATTCAAGTCTCATTCGTTTCAAGTAGCATTCGTTTCTAACAAAACAATCACAAAATGATGATCAAATGTCTAAGACCGAAGAAAGACGAACGCAACGCAAGAGATGCTAGATCAAAATCAATGGTACGCCCTTGGTCTTTTGCGAATCTATCTTCTATTTATTAAATCCATCCATACGTGTCAGCGATCCAATTAAACTCCAATATCATCGGATCTAGGCGCGTGTGTAATTCGATCGTCGGAGCTCGATCGATGGAGAGGAGCGAGACAAAGGTTAATCCGAAAGCGAAGCGAGGCAGAGTGGCGCGACACGTCGTCTTGACAAGCGATTTGTCACGTTAACGAGCCAACGGCGACGTTAACGATCGCGTTCCATACGAATGCGGGTAGTACACGCGAGTCGGCCACGTGCGTGTGCACGGTTACGAAAATCCAGGAATCTCCCGGCGAGTTAAATTGAAAAGTCGCGGAGAGAACGATCCAACGAACGCCAGCCGAAATTAGCATTCCCGAGGGGAAGATTACCAAAGGTAAGGCAAGAATTCTTTGACAAAGAGGAGGAACTGAACCGCGGTTCTTCGAGGCCTCTCGACTTCTCTGCGTCCTTATTATATTCGCCGGTTATCGATCGCTCATTATGCCGCTTCGAAATGCGCTCGAATGCCCCGTGTGTAGCGTAATCGTTCCACTCGATGTTAAATTGCCTCGTTAAGCTGTCGTCGGGATACGTTTTAACCGGAAATTAATTGCGGTTTTACGGCCGGCGCAATATCCACCACCTAATCAATGTTCCAACGATACTCGCGTTTTAAAATTCTGCGGGAGGTATCGGTGTGAATGTTTTTCCTGTTTTATTTTTCCTGTTTCCTTCTTTTTTTTTTTTTTTCTTTTGTTGAATTAATTTTCGTTGCGTCGTTTGTTACCTTCGATCGAATCGTGCTTTTTTTTTTATTGTTGGGAAATTTTTTAAATCTGGGAGAAACGTGGAAGAGTAATTCAGTGTATGTTACTGATGTGCAGGATCTTTTGTTTCAATTATACGTTAAAGATATTTTCTGGAATATTATTTCAATATTATCTTCGTTTTTCAATTTAATGTCATTTTCCTCGATAGAAACTGTATTAAAATTCACGAAATTCTTTTTGAGTTTTAATAAAGTTTCCATTTCTATTTCTGATACCATTTTTCTGCAAGTTTTATATGACATCATATCTCCAGCTAGATAGAACAGATCATTTCTGCGGTATTTTTCTTTAATTATAGAGCGAAATGAACACGTGTATCCAATTTGACCGAGAATTAAAATATCTTGGAAAATGTGAAAGGACGAAGGAAAATGCAACGAGACACGTTATTCGAATTTTTAGACGAAAGATACATATCTGTAGAAAGATAAATAAATTTCTTTAATTTCCGAGACAAGATATTTTTATATTTAGTCGTAACTTTTAGGAAAACTTCATCCTCCATTAAGTCTAGAGAAACTAACTTGCCTGCTTTTTTATTCAACCAATCAAATCCAATATCGTGCAAATTAATTAAGTTCCCCTCCAATAAATTAAATCCAATATCAGTCGAGTATTCTTCTTATATTCAACAAGTCAAATCTAACAACAGATCCGCCAATTAATTAAGCTTTTACGTTCAACGTAATATTTTTTTTTAGTTGAAAAATTCCTATATACGTCGCATACCAATTTTAGAAGTTTGAAACATTGGTCACTGGACGAGAAAATGGTCGGTCTTTATATAATTGATGCTTCTCTCGTGACTCAACGTGGAAACACCACGGAAGCAGCTTCCTCCGGGTTGACGCACGAAATACCGGACATTCGATCCCGATTTCTCTCTTTCTCTTTCAGCCGCCGTTGTTCGGCGAGGCTTAATGAAAACCGTGATTGAAGCCTCGTGCACGAGGGGCCAATCGATCCGCAGGAATCACGAAGAGGGTGTTTGGCAGCCAATCACCGATCTCCCTGCAAAGGACCGACACTTTTTCCTTCTCTCTCTCTTTCTCTCTTTGATTCAACGGGATTCATGAGTTGACTTTGAACGCGAGAACTTCACCGTTGTATCGGGCTGATCAAACTCTCCTAACACATTGCTCCGTGCGTTCTACAAGTGTAGAATTATTAGCTCACTTGTAAAATATGAAATTTATTGTGGAATCGATCGGAAGAGTTATATCTTCCGAGAGACAACATAACGTAAATAGGATGCAGCCCGATTATTTCGAAATATCTTCTTGAAGAACTTCATTTTGAAATCTATTTGATCATTGTTTCGTAACAGTCTGTATAATTACCTCGACTGAAATGGTGAGAAACGTGAAAAAGGAAGGAACTTTGTATATTTAAACTCAATCTGGTGTTATCGACATCTGGAAAGTAAATCTTATTTTTATAAATTTGTTCGTCATAGAAAAAGAAATGAAAATAGCACGAACAGTTCCAAATTTCAGAGACAATTATTGCATTTATCATTTCCCTATGCATTTTATCGTAGGAAGTTCATACAGTCGAATCATGGCCTAGATCTCGCAATGGCGTCATTAAAGAGTATTGAAGATAAATAACCATCGAAACTAAACAACTAAATTAACACAGACGAAACTATCGCCGAGGGAACCCCGATTTCTGATCATCCCTTCCGAAACATTTACACGCTGGTACTCTCGAATGGAGGAGAATTTGATATACTTTAAACAAAGAACTTAGCTCGTCTCGAAAGAGGAGAGACTTTCAAAAAAAAGGTGGACAGTTTCCAGTGAAGAAAACGAGACAAGCAGTGCGCCTGCATTAGTTTAACAAGTTGATCAACAGGAGTTTACCGTGCTTCTGTCTTAAAGGGAAGCAGGACACGAAAGAAAGACCGGTGGAGAGTGAATTCACCGGATGGAAAATTGGAGGGCAAACATTTTTCCGTTCTCCTTCGAGAGAGAGCTAATAACCTCTGCATATTTGATAGGATTCCATTCTTCGCTCGCGGCAGGGAAAGATCGTTTCTGCTTGCGCGCGGACGGGAAATGTAATTTCTTTCGCTAACACGATACAATTTTGATCCGGTACGGCAATCCGAAAGCTTTTGTGTCCCCGAGGCGGGGCAAATCTTGTATCCTGTATGCATTTTCATCTTACCGAGGCTCGCGCCACTTTTCCTTTCTTCCTTTCTTCCTTTCTTTCTTTCTCTCCCTTTTCATACGACCCTCCGGTTCCTTCTTTCTCCGCTCCGTGTATTAAATTGACCAACGTTTCGTACACGGCGCGCTGTTTTGTCTCCAGAGTATCGCGAGTATCGATCGTTCTCCTCGGGAAAAACCTTCCGAGGGATCCTTGGGACCTTTTGTTTCGACGGATAATTCCCTCCTCCTCCTCCACGGATCACGGAATACTCTGTGTCCTTCGAACCGAACGACTCCCTCCTCCTTCTCCTCCTCGGAGACCTCCTCGCGTCGATTTTCTATCGTCTTACGGTTTATTAACTCTCGGCCGATTAGCCCGCCCCGTGAGATCCTGTCTTGTCCGATGGGTCCTTCGAGATTCACGCTTGAATTATTCTCTCTTCGTCCTCTCTCCGCCCGCAATCACCCCCTTGGCTTGCTATTTATCGGTATCGCTGGACGAATCGTTGTTTGGTTTCCTTCGACGCTACAGTAATGGGCTGTTATATTACAGGGTGTCCATGAAGTCTCTTTACAATTTCAAAAATTTATTACAAAGGCAAATGAAAAGACAGACAAGTGGAAATTATTACAAAGTAAGACGTGTATATTTAAGTTTCCTTTTGTTTCATTTCATATACCTGTATATGGCACCGTTAGTTACACGAAACACATCAAAACGGTATTCGATTTCTTGCCATGTTCGCTGTAGCATACTCTCATCAATGGTGGCAATGGCATCAGTGATCTTCTGCTTTAGATTAATGATGTCACGTACCTTTGTCTGATACACGATATCTTTAACATAACCCCATGTGGGTGTTCATGAAGTCTCTTTACAATTTCAAAAATTTATTACAAAGGCAAATGAAAAGACAGACAAGTGGAAATTATTACAAAATAAGACGTGTATATTTAAGTTTCCTTCTGCTTCATTTCATATACCTGTATATGGCACCGTTAGTTACACGAAGCACATCAAAACGGTACTCGATTTCTTGCCATGTTCGCTGTAGCATACTCTCATCAATGGTGGCAATGGCATCAGTGATCTTCTGCTTTAGATTAATGATGTCACGTACCTTTGTCTGATACACGATATCTTTAACATAACCCCATGTGGGCGTTCATGAAGTCTCTTTACAATTCCAAAAATTTATTGCAAAGGCAATTGATGAGATATCTTCATCAGATTTGTTGATATGTACTCAGTGGTTATCAAGGTTTTTATCACATTGCATTTCAAGTACCCTGTTGATGAATAAGATACTGTTAAATGAACCTCTTACAAAATGGCTACTCCTCAAGAGAAGGTACAGTGTGTATCGTGGTTTATTGAAATCCAATCGGATCTGCAGACTCGTTGAAACTTCAGAATTAAGAATGGAAGAGATCCATCCGTCACGTCCATCAATTCGTGCATAGCACAAGAAATTTATGGAGACAGGGACAGTGTTCGATAAAGGGAGGAGTGGACGACCAAGAACATCTGAGGAAAACATTGATCGTGTAAGAAATCGAGTACCGTCTTGATGTACTTCGTGCAACTAATGGTGCCCGTATAGAAGTATATTAAATTAGGTAAAAAGAGACTTAAATATATATGTCTCATTTTGTAATAATTTCCACTTATCTGTCTTTTCATTTGGCTTCGTAATAAATTTTTGAAATTGTAAAGGAACTTTATGGACATCCTGTATATTAATTTCGAAAGTGACTGAAGGTGCTGACTTTCTGAATTTCTGAACAATTTAGAACAAAGCTGAACTTCTTTCGAAAATTTATAATCGCTGTTTAAGTCACGTCGTAGATTACTGAAGATTAGACGAGGCCACAGTCGCGTTACTTAATCAAACTACTTAAAACTAACTACTGAATGTTACACGACGTTGCTCGGTGACGTCACGAGTTACTAACCATTGAAAATTAATGACACTGCTAATCGCGTCGCCGGTTATTAATTACTGAAAGTTCGACATCGAAACTCGTATGATGCTGCAATCACATCAGCGATTATTGTACAGGGTGCGTCTATAAACTTTAAACGATCAAACTTGATCAGCTTGTTCTGCGAGTAAAAGATCTGACAAGTCTGCAAATAATTTATAATGATATTGTATAAATGTGAGAACTAATCAAGTTCGAGTTAGATTTAAATTTCAGAATATCCGTCTCTCCGTTTCGAATATGATATTATTTTGCTTCTAAAATTAAATCCTCACGTACTAAAATTTCATCCTCGTGTTGATTCTTCGTTCAATTTATTATTTATTCATTTCATCGCAACTATCTTAGTCAACCAGTTATTTCAAGTTTGAAGTAACAACGCTACACCTGCCAGCGTCCATTTTGCAGGCTTGTCTTTCGTCTTCAAATTGAAAGTCCACACGTAGGTTGGCCCTCGAGTTCTCGTTTTGTAAACGGGACACTCGTACATATTCCTCAGATCCTGTTTATCCTGCGTGATCGCTCTCACGTTGATCACTGGCATCGCTGGAAATAATTCTTTCACTTTTGAATCCATTATGACGCCGGATTGCACGTCCCATCGTGCTCCCTCCATAAATATCCCATGAATATAAGCACCGTCTCTCGGAGCTGACCTAACAAACAGTATGATACCTCAATTAGTGACCATCTTATATGTAACGAGATCATTTATTTTGCAAAAAATTAATTTCTTTTCTTTCGCAAGGAATTATATCTGCAAATGTTTCGTCAATCAATACGCCGGTTGTGATTCTATCATCAAGAATTGATTATTTTAATAAGTTTTCAACGTCGCGGTGTTTCGTAACTTGCGGGACCCACCTTGTAGGGGAGCTGATTGTACGCCTAAAAATAATGAAAAATAGTCATAGAAGTATATGTCCTATCTGTCTTTGTTTATGAGATATAATGAATTTTCTGTTTTAATTGCTTTTACAAAAGATGCTCGAAATGACCAGCTTGCATTTGAAGACAAGCCTGCA